GAAAGAAATTGCCAAATTATTTTGAAATCGGTTGAGGTTTGGGTATAGCTAACATATATATTTCGGCCGACTTCATATATGTTATGCACCAAACACGATATATATGACCGATTCCAGTGAAATTCAGAATGTGTGGCGGAATTTGGTTATAATAATAAATGTGATAAATTAATTGAAAATTAGTTAAGATTTGGATATAGCTCCCATATATATATTCTCTGACGATTTCACATATTTGACGCACCAATTTCAATGAAATGTGAAAGTTGTGGCGGAATTTAGTGTAAAAGTATTTTTTTTTAAATTATATTTAAATCGGATCAGATTGGGATATGATTTTAATAAGAAACATTGACCCACAACGCCTTAGGCTAACACTAAAAAATAACACAACAATTAATTTGAAATACGTTTATTACGGGGAAGTATGTTGCTACCATGGTACAATGATATCAAGGTAGGGCTATGATACCATATGATTTTAATTTTTTTATTTTCTTGGCTTAATATGTCATCTTTATTTGTTTATGTATGTGTTTTCTTTTCAATAACAAAAAAATTTTTCAGAAAACATTCAAATTCCGATGTTTTCAAAATGTTTATTTCATCGTATGCATCGACAAAATCTAGAGTTTTTGTAGCGAAATAATCCTTTAGAGATATATAGAACCTGGTTTTGAAAAGAAGTGTTGACCTTTCATTCAATTTTCGCGGTTTTCAATTATTTATTCAAAATAAATGCAACAAGTTGTTTGATTTTGTTATTGTTTTGATACTATTTCTGACACTACAAGCCAAACAGGTAGACCTCTATACTTGCAATTTTTCCAAAGTTGACCTACCTTCTCTTCATTGTACCATGGTTGCTACCTCGAATTCACTAATTGCAATAGAGATGCCACTCAACTTCAAAAAATTGCAGTTTCCTGCACGCTTGGTATTTGCTATGAAATAAATAAATCTAAAGGACAAACCCTTCGTGTATGCATGTCATGTTACTGCTTTTCTAATGGTTTTTTTTATTAACGAATTAAAGTAGTGCAATATTTTTTTTTTAATTTTTAATTTTTTTTTATCCAACATATTTTCGTAAATAAAATTTTGAATGCATATAAAATCATGGAGTTATTTTACTTATAATAAAAATTGTGCTGCTTACATATTTCAGATCTGTGTAAAGACTAAAAGTACGGGCCCGAAACGCGGATCTAGTTTTTATACCCTCCACCATACTATGGAGGGTATATTAATTTTGTCATTCCGTTTGTAACTCCTCGAAATACTCACGTCAGACCCAACAAAGTATATATATTCTTGATCAGAGTAAAATTCTAAGACGATTTAGCCAGTTCCGTCTGTCTGTCTGTGTGTCTGTCTGTCTGTCCGTCTGTCAGTCTGTCTGTCTGTTGTAATCACGCTATCTTTCGAACAAATTGAGATAGAAGGCTAAAATTTTGCACACATGTATATTTTGCCAGTAGGCAGGTTAAGTTCGTAAATGGGTCATGTAGGTCCAAGTTTTCAGACCGGAATTGTTTCAAATTTGGCATTTGAAGTTCGTAATGGATACTACAGCCTAAGACAGAAAATTATCTGTGCAGGTCCACGTCTTCGTATAGCCCCCATATAACGGTTTGATGATTTTAGCGACATTATTTAAAGGAACCGTTCCAAATTTGGTATTTGAAGTTCGTAATAGATACTGCAGCAGAAAACAGAAAATGGGCCATGTAGGTCCACGTCTTCGTATAGCCCCCATATACCGTACCCCCCTATATTCGGTATTTTGATGATTTTAGCGACATTATTTAACGGAACCGTTCCAAATTTGGTATTTGAAGTTCGTAATAGATACTGCAGCAGAAAACAGAAAATGGACCATGTAGGTCCACGTCTTCGTATAGGCCCCATATACCGTACCCCCCGATATTCGGTATTTTGATGATTTTAGCTACATTATAAACAAATTTTTCTTAAAGTTTCGCATTTAAATGTTGTAATAACTTATGACAAAAGTTGCCTATGCAGGTATACGTCGTCGTATAGACATTCGGTATTTTTAAGATTTTAACAGAATTTTTAAAGGATTTTTTTATTTTATTTGTTTATTTATTTATTTATTTTTTTTTTTTTTGGAAATTGCCAAATTTGTACCAAATGGTGGAGGGTATTAAAAGTTCGGCCCGGCCGAACTTACAGCTTTTTTACTTGTTGTATAAGTTTTCGTTCTTCAATGAGGGATGGTATTTAAAGCAACTAACATTACAACATTTTCATTATATTATTTCCACGTGCTATAGAATCAAGTTTTGGAACCGGCCGAAAGCTTCTTAGAAGAATTATCAATTTTGAGCGTGCGAAGAATATGTGGCGTCATAAATCAATCACTTTTAACACCATTCTATGACGGTGTTGGATCATTTTTATTCTTTGTATTGATTGGTTGTTTGGTTAACTATTGTTGTTAAACGCTTAAATTGGTCATCTGACATTTATTCAAAGAAGACCCAAAAGTACGTGCGAACTTAATGACAAATAGCAAATTCTTAACCCATTATGCGATTGCTCGAACACTGACTATGATTATTAAAGTTCTATATAATTTTTGAATTTCCACTTGGAACTGGAGATATAGCATCAGAATCGGAGGTACCTCCCAACAATTTTGATTTTATATGCACATATCTATTGATTGGTTGAAGATACAGTCTCCAAATTTGGAATACGTAAAGGAATTTGGAACAAAAATAAGTTTGCCAAATTATATTGTAATCAGTTCAGATTTGGATATAGCTCTCATATATATTTTCGACCGATTTCGTTCATTTGATGCCTCAAACACAATATGAATGTTCGATTCCAATGAAGTTTGGAATGTGTGACGGGATTTAATCCGAAAATAAATTTGTCAAATTATATTGAAATCGGTTCAGATTTGGATATAGCTCCCATATATATTTTCGACCGATTTCATGTATTTCATGCACCAAACACGCTATGTATCTCTAATTTCAATGAAATTTGGAATGTGTAGCGGAAATTAAAACAAATATACATTTGTCAAATTATATTAAAATCGGTTCAGATTTGGATATAGCTCTCATATATATTTTCGACCGATTTCATGTATTTTATGCATCATACACGATATGTATGTTCGATTCCAAAGAAATTTGGAATATGTAACGGGATTTTGATTAGAAAATAAATTAGTCAAATTATATTAAAATCGGTTCGGATTTGGATATAGCTCCCATATATTTTCCGCCGATTTCACATATTTGATGCACAAAACACGATACGTATTTCCGATTCCAATGAAATTCGGCATGAGTGGTACAAAAATAAATGAATTTGGTACAAAAATAAATTTGACAAATTATATTCAAATACGCTCAGATTTGATTATAGCTCCCATATATATACTCAGCCAATTTCACATACTTGATGCACCCAAAGCGAAAGAGACAAAATCTGGCACCAGAAAAAATTGCCAAATTATATTGAAATCAGTTGAGGTTTGGATATAGCTAACATATATATTTCGGCCGATTTCATACATGTTATGCACCAATCATGATGTATATGACCGATACTAATGAAATTCAGAATGTGTGGCGGAATTTGGTTACAATAATAAATGTGACAAATTAATTGGAAATTAGTTAAGATTTGGATATAGCTCCCATATATATATTATCGGTCGATTTCACATATTTGACGCACCAATTTCAATGAAATATGAAAGGTGTGGCGGAGTTTGGTGTAAAAGTATTTTTTTTTAAATTATATTTAAATCGGATCAGCGAAGTATGTTGCTATCTCGAATTCACTAATTGCAATAGAGATGCCACTCAACTTCAAAAGATTGCAGTTTACTGCACGTTTGGTATTTGCTATGAAATAAATAAAACCCGAAGGACAAACCCTTCGTGTATGTATGTCATGTTACTGCTTTTCTAATGGTTTTGGTTATTTACGCATTAAAGTAGTGCAATATTTTTTTTTTTTTAATTTTTAAATTTGTTTTTTTTTTTAACCAACATATATTCGTAAATAAAATTTTGAATGCATATAAAATCAAAAAAACCGGGTTCAGCTAGTATATATATATACATATATATATATATATATATATATATATATATATATATATATATATATATATATATATATATAAGACAGAAAATTATCTGTGCAGGTCCACGTCTTCGTATAGCCCCCATATAACGGTTTGATGATTTTAGCGACATTATTTAAAGGAACCGTTCCAAATTTGGTATTTGAAGTTCGTAATAGATACTGCAGCAGAAAACAGAAAATGGGCCATGTAGGTCCACGTCTTCGTATAGCCCCCATATACCGTACCCCCCTATATTCGTTGTTATTCGTTGTTTTTTTTTTTAACCAACATATATTCGTAAATAAAATTTTGAATGCATATAAAATCAAAAAAACCGGGTTCAGCTAGTATATATATATATATATATATATATATATATATATATATATATATATATATATATATATATATATATATATATATATATATATATATTAATTTAAAATTTAAAGTTGAGATATTGATTTCAAGAAAATATAGATAGAATATAGATAGACGAGACATATTGACGTCAAATTTTCAAATCCAAACCTTTTCGATTCAATAATGTGTTCACATCTACATATTTACAAGCGACAACACCCATACATACATCTTGCCGGTAGTAATAATAATATTCAACTCGCGCCCAATATCATCATTTATAGCTGCAAAACACTTTTAATTAGAAATTATGATTAAGGCCCAACTATGACTAAATAAAAACATTAAAAAAAATGAAGAAAATGTTGTTTGTGGATTGTGGCATCCCCAAATATGGCGCCCAACTAACACGTCATATTTATTGCTGGGAGAATTTTTTCGTTTTAAATTTTTAAAAATTGAATTTTTTCTATTGCTCAAAGAGACATGCCAGTTAGTCTGTTAACAATGGTGATCGATGGTGTTTGAATGTAGCTAAAGACAATAATTGAATTTAAAACGAAAAGAAGAACACAATTTTCAATTCGCTTGACAAGTAATACAAACCGCAGAGAAAGAAGTGTGACAAATAAAGCAATTTTAAAAATATTTTTGTAAAAATATATAAAATGGGATTTTGGAATGTAAAGTTGTTTGGTACAGCAGTTGCTGGTCTCATAACTGCTTTCTGCACGGCTGGTATTTTGAGATGGGGAGTTCTAGTCTATAAATGTAACGAATCAAAATCCTGGCAAACATTCTCAGGTAAGTGATTTCATGATGAATCGATGACCCAATTTGAATTATTTGTTGGAAAGATTAAGTGTATGTACTGCAGAGATTGTCAATTTCAAGGTATTTTAGGTTTTCGACTGTCGAAAAGTTGTAAGCGTCGAAAACGTCATATACCTGTATAAAACGTCATAAAATTCTATTGTATTGTAATATCCCACATAATACATCCCAAGTTGGTTGATAAACTCTTATAAACTTATTAATTGGAGAGGCGGCGTTAAAGAAATAAATGGTTCAAATTATAAACCAAAATGCGTTATTTAAATAAATGTTAACACGAAACTGAGTTTTGTTTTTATACCCTCCACCATACTATGGAGGGTATATTAATTTTGTCATTCCGTTTGTAACTCCTCGAAATACTCATGTCAGACCCAACAAAGTATATATATTCTTGATCAGCGTAAAATTCTAAGACGATTTAGCCAAGTCCGTCTGTCTGTCTGCTTGTTGTAATCACGCTATCTATCGAACAAATTGAGATAGAAGGCTAAAATTTTGCACACATGTATATTTTGCCAGTAGGCAGGTTAAGTTCGTAAATGGGCCATGTAGGTCCAAGTTATCTAATAGCCCCCATATAACGGTACCTCCCGATATTCGGTATTTTGATGATTTTAGCGACATTATTCACCGGAATTGTTTCAAATTTGGTATTTGAAGTTCGTAGTGGATACCACAGCCTAAGACAGATAATTATCTGTGCAGGTCCACGTCTTCGTGTAGCCCCCATATAAAGGTACCCCCCGATATTCGGTATTTTGATGATTTTAGCGACATTGTTTACCGGAATCGTTTCATATTTGGTATTTGAAGTTCGTAATGGATACTACATACTAAGTCAAAAAATGAGCCATGTAGGTCCACGTCTTCGTGTAGCCCCCATATAACAATACCTCCCGATATTCCGTATTTTGATGATTTTAGCGACATTATTCACCGGAATTGTTTCAAATTTGGTATTTGGAGTTCGTAGTGGATACTACAGCCCATGCCAGAAAATTGTCTGTGCAGGTCCACGTCTTCGTATAGCCCCCATATAACGGTACACCTATATTCGGTGTTTTGATGATTTTAGCTACATTATAAACAGATTATTCTTCAAGTTTCGCATTTAAATATTGTAATAACTTATGACAAAAGTTGCCTATGCAGGTCCACGTCGTCGTATAGGCATTCGGTATTTTTAAGATTTAAAAAAAAATGTACCAAATGGTGGAGGGTATTAAAAGTTCGGCCCGGCCGAACTTACAGCTTTTTTTCTTGTTATAACTGACAATATTTTTAAAATTGAAAATTTTTAACACCGACGCCTGAAATCTTAAATATGAAGCGAGATTTTTTTGTAATTTTTTTTTTTTTTCATTTGATATTTGTCACCTTTGCTAAAGTTTTCATTTCAGATTTTCGTAGATCAAGAATTCAGCACCTGTATATTGTTGTTGCAAATTAGCCAAGCTTAAGACTATTTATTGTTTGTCGCTCTAGTTTTACTCCCTGCTACCAAACAAAAGGCTGCTGTTTATGAAATGTATGGAGCAATTTCTCAGATGATAGACATACGAGAATTAACTATTATGCTTGATTAATATTCGTAACCGTGTCTCTGCCAAAAACTTATATTATTTGTCAAGACTTACGATTTTGTTGACGTATGTATGTTACGTCGAAACAAGTATACGTCACGGTTTCTGACACATCATCTACGATACACTATAAGCTCATATTTGGAGTGGTATTATCAAAGAATTTTAATACAATATTTTCATTGACGATGCAGATAGCCACTCATCCCTTACGTTAAGCAAAGTATCGGTCACAATTATTTTGAAGCAATAAACAGACCTCAATTTAAGATCGAATTCAAAAAAATCAGATTAAAAACAGTAAAGGAAGGTACTTAATCGGGCTGACCGACTTTATGATACCCTACACCACTATGCATATGTAGTAGAGCTACCCGTAATAAATAAACTTTTATATATGGAATTTATGTGAATCAGATCAAAACAACGAATGGTTTTTGAATGCTTATTATGGCTTAAGGCCTCTTACAATTTGAAGTCGAATGGAACATACAAATGGAAGACATATTCTACTCTGAATCGATTTTCGCTACATTTGAAGGGGACATTTGTGTCTGAACCGATTTTCACCATAATCCATCGTATTTGAGCTGATATTAGACTTTTTAAGCACAGTAAATGTGAAATCGGCTGAAGATATATGGAAGTTACATCCGAATCTGAACTAATTTTTGTAAAGTTAAGCCGAGATATTTTTATGCTGTATCCGATAGCTGGTACCACATATCGTAGTTGTGGAATGCATTTTACGGGCTTGAGGGAGGGTATATTAAGTTTGTCAATCCGTTTGTAACACCTCGAAATATACACTTTAGACCCTACAAAGTATACGAATTCTTGATCAGCATAAAATTCTATGTTGTTTTAGCGATGTCCGTCTGTCTGTGAAAATCATTCGAGCTTCCGAATGAAACGAAGTAGGTTGATAAAATTTTACTCCAATGTATATTATGTCTGCAGGACTTTTGGTATTGAAAATGGGCCATGTAGGCCCACGTCTTCGTATAGCCCTCATGTAGTGGTACCTCCCGCTATTCGGAGTTTTAATGACTTTAGCTACATTATTCACCGAAATTGTATCAAATTTGATACTTGTGCAGCTCCACGTCTCCCGATTTTCGGTATTTTGATGATTTAGCGATATTATTCACCGAAATTGTTTCAAAGGTGATGTTTGAAGCGTGTAATTAAGCGCGTAATGACATGATAGAAATTTGTCTGTGTAGGTCTACGTTTTGGTATAGCCCCCATATAATAGTACCTCCCTTTATTCGGTATTTTGATGATTTTATCGATATTATTCACCGGAATTGTTTCAAATTTGGATTTTGAAGTTCGTATTGGATGCTACAACCTATGACAGAAAATTGTCTGTGCAGGTCCAAGTCTTCGTATAGCCCCCATATAACGGTAACTCCCTATATTCGGTATTTTGATGATTTTAGCTATATTATTCACCGACTTTTTTAAGTTTCGCATTTGATTATTGTGATGGCTTATGACAAAATTATGCAGGTCCATGTTCAACAGAAAACTCAATATTAAATTTGAGGACTCCAGCCCCATTCCCTCAACCAATACCAAATTTTGTACCAACTAGTACTTTTTGTACAAGTATAGGGTGCTTTTTTAAACCATCGTCAAATCTAAGTAATCTAAATATCAAATTACGCTATTTTATTTCTATCCCTTCGTCCAATACTAAATATAGTACCCTTCAGTACTTTTTTTTACATTTACAGTATACATTTACGAAACTACCCCCATGTGTCTAGAGTACACATAAACAGTGACCCTAATGCCTAATTTAAGATTCCAAGCTCTATCTGTTCACCCAATACTACATTGTACCAAATATAGTTCTATTGAGTACTTTTCGCGCACATGTAGCACACGTATCCAAAATCCCCTTTTTATTACAAACCTACCATCAACAGGTACCCCAATACAAAATTTCAGAACTTCGGCTTTATCCGTTCATCCTAAACCACACTGTTCCAAATTTAGTACTGTTTAGAACAGTTCGCACACTTAGGACACATTTCTGAAACCGTCTTCGTATATCAAACTTGCTTTCCAGCATTGATTCTCATGCCAAATTTCACTTTAGAACTTTTCGTAACTTTAAAATTCGAATTTCCATAAAACCAATACAAAGTATTATTTTTTTTTTGTACACTATTGAATTTTCAAAAAGGCTGCCTTATGACACGCCTATGCCCCAAGGCACGATATATTCTAATTCCAGTTTTCGAAAATCGTACTACATGTGAAGGAAATATGGTATGTGATGGCTGAATGTGTCAATATTACCATACCTCAATTTTAAGTCGTGAGAAATGTTTAAAGTTTTAAACACCATTTACAGTTATTAACACTACAGGGTGAGATGAAAAAACTGCAACCAACTTCAGACTGCTGTCATTTCTAAGCCACTCGTCCGACAGCTGTTAATATCATTCCAGTGGCAGCTCATTATATTGTATTGTAGAATTTTCCACAAGCGTGGGAGTTCAAGCGTGATAGTGTGATTTCTTTATATTTGGCTGGAAAACCTCAAGTAGCTATCGTTAGAGCACTCCAGTATTTAAATGTGAATAAATCTTTTGTGTCTCGTACCATCGCTCGTTACCGTGATACTGATACATCAACATCAGCAAAAATGGTTCGAAAAGTAAAGAAGCGACTTGATCAAAACCCACGTCGCAGTGGGCGAATATGGCTCGTGAGCTGAACATATCACAATATTCCATTCGGCAAATATTGAAAAATGAGATCGATCGAAAAATAAGTTGCTTCACTTGGCCGAAAGTGGTGAACTGCCGAATTTGGTTTTCTCCGATGAGATCGGCAGTTTGATCGTGTTTACTTGCCAAAGAGGTCAACTGAAAATGTGCACCTTCAGTTGGCCACCAGAACTCAAGAGCCGGGCATTGTGACAACAGCCAATGGTCGCTCTCCGCTCGTGTTAATCGACCGTGGCACCAGAATAAATGCCGAATATTATCGCGAAATATCCTGGAGGATGTATTAAAGCCTTGGACGCAAAGATTTTAACCGTAGACCTTCGACATCCCCACAGGATTCAGCACCATCGCACTCAACACGCACCACCCAAGAATAGTTACAAAATGAGGTTCCTCGCTTCATTTCCAGAGCACAATAGCCACCAAAATCTTTGGATACCAATCCGTCGACTATTGTGTCTGGAGTATTTTGGAAAGCAAGGTTGGCACTAAAAAATACCAAATTATCGATCACCTCAAACCAGCGCTTCGCCGGCAATGGGTCTTTTGGCCGCAGAGCAACATTCACTGGCCGATTGAAGGCCATACTTCGTGCCAAAGGTGACCAATTCAAACAAATCTAAACTTATTCTAAAATTTGATGCTATTTCCGACATTTTTTGCTTTCATTCAATAACATTTAAAAAAAATTTAAAAATTATGACGTTTGAATTTGTTCCAGTTTTTTTTTATCTCACCCTGTACTCTGAGAGTTAACGAAACAAAACTCATATAAATTACTTTTCAAAGTATGACCTTTAGAAATCGTCTACACCAAAATCAAATTTGGGCATAAATTTCCGCCCATTTACTTCATCTAGCTCATCTAAGAGGAATAGTTTTTTTAGTTTGTAGTTGTAATCTTAAAATTTAATTTTGTATTTACAGACTGGGTTTTTAACGTTTACAATATAGCTCTGGGTGGTGGATGGTTTATTAATCGAAGAAAAAATGGTAAGCTCAAGATTCTCTTAATTTCATCATAATGATTACTCAATTTGATTTTAATAAACTAACTTGTTCAAATTTCAGAAGATAATTCGGAATTAATAGCCCCACTCTCCTTTGCACTTGCTTTGTTAACTTCAATTGGTTTGATTGCTTCGCTGATGTTTATTTGTGGATTGCGTCGGGTAAGTAGTGGTGGACAATCACACATACGCAATTTTAAAAATTATTACCATATTTCTCATCTACGTTTAGAATCGCCTGAGATTAGTAGCTCCATTAGTCTACTTGACTGCTGCCGGCATAGTTTTCACAGCCATCACAGCTTTGTGCTCGTATACCGCGAATTTAATGATTGCCCCAACTGTTGTCCATGCTGCTTTAGAATTTCTAATACATTGTGTGAAATTTCTGGCCGGCCGAACTTACAGGTTTTTTACTTGTTTAATAAACATTAATTATGTATAGTAAAGTGGACGTAATTTCAGTTAATTTATGAATTGAAAATAATTTACAATTGGTTTACAATCGAAACCATGGATTTTTTGCATAGTTTTCTAACTTTCGAGATTTCACCTATAGGAGAAAGAGGGTGTGTTGTTATTATCAGAATGCGCATCTAATTTCAATAAATTTATCTTTAACTTTGTCTTTTACAAAAAAAAGCAAACAACGAATACGACAAATATTTTTGGCAGTTAATGTTGGTTAAAGGAGTGGTAAAGAACAAAGGACATAGAGAGAAAACATATAAAAAATAATCAACATCTCACACCCACTGCGAGCAGGGCTGGTCACAAAGCTTTAAGGAGCCTCGGTGTGTGTTTGATTTGTTTCCTTGTTATAGTTGTTAATTCAAGAGGCCCTCAGATACGCAAAATGAAAATTCCAATACGCCAAACTTTTTTCTCCTCCATTTTGTATCATCGTTATTAAGATATTTTATAGCGCCATGGTTAAATTTAATAGAAATCAAAGTTTAGTCTGTTTGTGGATTTGGCTAAAAACGGTTGTCGTCATTGTGTTGAGAATCAAGGAAAATTAGAGCGGAAAATAAAAGGAAAACCTTGTCAACAATGAATCGCAAATTACGTTTTTGGAATGCCCGAGTTTTGAGTTATTTTGTGGCCTCACTGAGCGGTGTAGCTTTTTTGGTGGCTGGCATATTAATTTTATTAAATCGTTGGCAAAACAAAAAAGGAGGTGTGTGAAGATTTACTAATTTCCTGAAAAATATGATACCCTAATTTAATTCTGTATGTTTTTTTTTCTCCAGAGATGACCGACAGATCTATGCTGCAGGCAATATTTGCCATACACATATTTAGTGCTGTGGCATTTTGTTTATCCTTGGTTTTCCTGAAGGGACTATACCAGGTGAGTGCTTTGTTTTTATGAGCACAAAAATCGAATGCTTCTTCTCACATATTATTAGAATATATTATGTTTCATCTTTCAACCCTGCATAGGAAGATAAAATATGATGTATTCTAAAAATATGTGAAAAGAATCATTCGATTTTTGTTTATCCTAAGTTCACCTGGGTGGAAAATGAAAATTCCCCATTTTCGTTAATTGTATTTTTTTTTTTCAGAAACGTATTGCTCTGATGAGACCCTATGTGTATCTACTCTCGGCTTGCCTATTGTTTGCTTTCATAACCATTATTTGCATTTACACGGCCGATTTGGTAAAGGAGCCAGCATATTTCAATGCCATATTATTTAACTTCTATTACTGCTTGGGATTAGGTATGTAATAATTAACTAAATAGAACAGCTTATATTTAAAACGTGTCCATTCATGATTTTCATGCAACCAAAGTTCGAATAAAATAATAAGGGTTGTGTAATTTGCGTCATTTAACATGGTATTTCAACTAATATTTTTATACCTTCCACCATATTAAGTTTGTAACACTTCGAATTATACATTTTCGAACCCCACGATTTACCGATGTCCATCCATCAGTCTGCCAGTCCGTGGAAATCAATCTAGCTCCCTAATAAAATGAAGTTGTTTGATAAAATCGTAGACAGATGTGTTTAGTCCGCAGGACTTTTGGTAAAGAAAATTGGCTATATGGGACCACGTTTTGGTATAAGCCCCATATAACAGCACGGACAAATTTAAGTTTTTGTTTTGGGTATTTTAAATCGAATTTCTTGTAAATTGGGAATATGTGCTTCCAGTATGTAGTAACACCCTTGCAGAGAACTATACAAATAGGTATAAGTTTTGGTATTGACCTCATATAACACCAGATATTCGGTATTTTGATGATTTTTTCATAGTTTTCACCGGAATTGTTTTAAATATGGTATTAGAAATTCCTTTGACAAAATATTTCCCGTAAATAGAGACGTCTGCAGTCAGGTCAAGTTGGAAGACAAGCCATATCGTCCAATTTCGATATTTTCACGATTTTAGCCACACTTTCTAAGTGAATAGTTTAAAATTCGGTATTTTCTAATAGGTTCTACCTCATATGGGACACTATTGTCTATAACTAAATTTTTTAACTGAATTATCTTAAACTTGGTGGTTTTAGGTTCACTATAGCCTCCATATGACAAGTATTTAGTATTTTTATACCCTCTACCATACATAGTATGGAGGGTATATTAAGTTCGTCATTCCGTTTGTAACTCATCGAAATAATCGTTTTAGACCCAACAAGGTATATATATTCTTGATCAGCGTAACATTCTAAGACAATTTAGCCCTGTCCGTCCGTCTGTCCGTCTGTTGTAATCACGCTACGGTCTAAACGAATTAAGATAGGAAGCTAAAATTATCGGTCCACGATATCGTATAGCCCCCATATAACGATACCCTAAATATTCGGTATTTTGATGATTTTAGCCACATTTTTCAACGGAATTGTCTGAAAATGTAGGTACTTTATTCCTTGCAAAAGAATTATCTATATAGGTTCACGATATCGTGTATTCCTCATATAACCCACCGATTTTCGGTATTTTGATTATTTTAGCCACATTTTTTAACGGAGTTGTCTGAAATTGTACACAAGAAGTTCTATGTGAGTACTTTACTCCCTTAAGGAGAGTATAGGTCCACGATATCGTATGGCTCCCATATAACGGTACCCCTCGATGTTCGGTATTTTGATGATTTTAGCCACATTTTTCATGGAATTGTCTGAAATTCCACACAAGGGGTTCTTTGTGAGCACTTTAACCCCTGAAAGGGATTTGTCGATATAGGTCCACAATATCGTATATCCCCCATATAACGGTACCCCCGATATTCGGGATTTTGATGATTTTAGCCACATTTCCCAATAGAATTATCTGAAAATCCTCACAAGGAGTTCCTTTTGAGTACTTTACCCCCAGACATAGATTTGTCTACATAGGTCCACAATATCGTATATCCCCCCATATATCGGCACCTTCCGATATTAGGTATTTTAAAGATTTTAACAGAATTTTCTATGGATTTTATTTTTTTGAAAATTTTCTAATAGTAAAAATTCAGCGAAACTTAACTTACTTGTTATACCCTCCATCATATATAGTAGGGAGGGTATATTAAGTTCGTCATTCCGCTTGTACCTCATCGAAATAATAATTTTTAGAAGAATTAGGCATGTCCGTCCTTCCGTCTGTAAGTCTGTTGTAAGCACGCTAGAGTCAAACGAATTGAAATAGGAAGCTTACATTTTGCACCTGTCAGTCTTTTGTGTGCAGGCAGGTCAAGTTCGAAGTTGGGCTATATCGGTCCAATATATCGTATAGCACTCACATAACAGTACCCCCCATATTCGGTATTTTGATGATTTTAGCCACATTTTTCAATGGAATTGTCTGAAATTCTACACAATTCTCCACAATATCGTATATACTCCATATAACGGTACCTTCCGATATTCGGTATTTTGAAGATTTCAGCTACATTTTTCAATGGAATGGTCTCAAAATTCACACATTCTGAGAACTTTTTCCCCCTGGAAGAGAATTGTCTACATAGGTCCATATCGTACACCTCCCATATAACGTAGCTCCCGATATTCGGTATTTTGATGTTTTTAGCGGCTCCGATTTATCGGTTTTCATTTAAGTGTTATTTTTAGATTTTTTATTTGACGTAGAAAAATGTGGCAAAAATAATCAAAATACCTAATATCGGGAAGTGCCGTTATATGTGGGCTATACGAAAACTTGGACCTATACATGCAATGGTCCGCCACTATGGCAAAAACCCAATAAGAAACTCAAATATCAAATTTTATGCGAATCCGTGGATAATGGACAAAAATCATCAAAATACCGAATATCGGGATGTACCGTTATATGGTAGCTAGAAATCGGGGACCTATACATGCATTGTTCCTTCACCGGAGCTAGAACCCAGTTTGATCTACAAAAACCAATTTTTCGATAAATCCGTGGAAAATGTGGCAAAAATCATGAAAATATCCTATATCGGGAGGTACCCTTATATGGGGGCTATACGATAATATGGACCTATACATACAATGTCCCGCCACCGGAGCTAGAATTTATTATGATCTACAAATACCAATTTTTATACAAATCCGTGGAAAAATGTGGGAATAATCATAAACATTCCAAATATCGGGGGGTACCGTTATATGGAGGCTATATGAAAATATGGACCTATGAATGATAAAAATTTCCAGCCCTTGAAATATACGAAAATATCAGATGATATGAACTCTTCTAAAATAATAGAATCCAGAAAATTTTAAATTAATTTATTATAATAACTCTAAATTAATATTTTAATTTCTTTTACATATTCTAGGCCTTCTCATCTTATTTCTATTGCCAATATTTTTGGTTTACCGGCAAATGTCGAAATCAATCGAAATAATCGAGAAGTTGGATGAAGCCACTGTTGCAGAAATCAAGCCAACTATAACAACACTATATTAATCGGAGGTGACAACATGCTATAAATATATTGGAAAATACCGAACATTACTGTTTAAAACCATTCATCAATTATAATAATATATTTAAATTATTTCAGATATATAATCAATAAAGCAATAACAATGTTTTTATGAAAAAATGAATTTTATGTGGTACAAGGGTAATTCTCGTGTTGGAAACAGAAGAAAGTTTCTCATCAAAATGCTCACTGTCTCATCAAATATGTATTGAACACAATTTTTCTATTACCTAACTTTTTGGTGTGTACAAATCTGCATTTTTATGAACGCACATTTAACAGGAAATTTACATATTCGAAAAAAAATCTCGTTCTACTTCATTGATGTCTATCGGACACGCGTTCTTTGGATTACCAAACGGCTTATGGCCATTGCACGAGAACTCGTGTGATTCCGCTGTTAATATAATTCCATTGTTGGGTGGGTATTGGAATTTCCATTTCTTGTTCTCAATCATCCACAAATCACAGCCTCGGATTGATGTGCAATGCTGACTAGGCATAGTTGAAATGAAATCCAGTTCCTGTTTTGGCAAAAGTTGGTCCAAATTCAAGTCTCTTGAGGTAGCAACAAAGAATTGCATAAATAAGAGTGAGCAAGTGTCTTGACGACTACTTAGTTTGGGAATACCATTTGGGGAACACACGTTTCTGAAATTTTGAAATGTTGAAAAAAACATTTTTGGTGATATTTTTGTTTGCCCACATAGCTTGGGCCCATCAGGAGACTGCTACAACTTTAGATGATGAAATTGATCCAAATACATATTCCATGGCCGTGGTGGAACATGGAGATTTTACTGGAGTACGACCTCCTAGGGCGATCTTGAAACTGGCAGCGTTGGGTGCCCTAGCTGGAGGGGCTGCTCTAGTTGGAGGTGCAGCTTTGGCAGGTGGTGCTGCTTTGGGTGTTGGAGCTGCAGCTGTGGGCGCCGGAGTAGCAGGAGCCGCTATTGGCTCCCTGAGTCGTGGTATTGGTGGTGGAGGCTTCGGTGGCGGCGGTTATGGGGGTTATGGCGGTGGTGGTTACGGAGGCTATGGTGGCTATGGAGGAGGACATGGAGGCTATGGTGGTTATGGCGGTGGTCATGGAGGCTATGGCGGTGGCCATGGAGGCTATGGTGGCAGCTATTCTGGAGTCTATGCAGGATCATATTCTGGTTCATATGGCGGTAACTATGGTGGCTGGGGTGGCAATGGAGGAGGATGGGGAGGCTATTGGAGATAATCATTACTTTTTAATTATTTATTTAATAAATGTTATTGTTGTTTTAAATTAATTAATTGCAACGTGTGCTTAGTTAATTTTTTTTTCTAATTAGCAAATGCAAATCAGAGGTGAGCAACAAAAGCTTTCGATAAAGCAAGTTTGGATTTGGTTAAGCGAACTAGCAAAAATATTACTTTACAAAAACAACACAAAAAGCATTAAAGTTTTATTTCGGAAAACCTCATTAATATGTCAGTTTAGTTTTTTTATGGAAACCCTTATCACTAAGTCACAATGATTAAAAATTTGTTATATTTAAAAGAATAATTTTGATTTATTAACTCTTTGCATATTTTCATAAATAATTAAACTTTAATTAAGACTTAGTCCAAATATTAAAAATGTATAATAAAATAATTTGAAGACGAAATGTTTTTACACACCTTTAATATGAGTGTGAAAGTGGCTCTCAAGTTACAGGTGCGGCCGGCAAAAAAAGCAGAATATCTCCCTGCCATTTCATATTTCAACACAAATTTTAGCATTTTTCGTTGTCCAGCCATTTCTAGCCATATTAAAGTTAGTAAATCAGTTGGCAAATGAAATTACTTGGCGGAGGTTGTTTACAAAATCCAGCTCACTCAAAGGAATATGGAATATTGTTCATTGTTTAATTTGGAAAATCTGAGCATTCTTGTCGCCAGCATCAATGCCTTGGTCTATTTGGTGCTATTGATGTATGACGTGATATTCTTGAATGAAGAATATAAGAAGTCAGCTCACAGCAGTGGTGAGAGTTAATGAGTTAAAGACCAACTACTCATAACAATCAAATTGTTTGGCAATATTTTAGATTTCAGTGGAAAATACGCTGTTCATTGCGAAATTATCCTTCTATTGGTATTCGGTATTGGACTATGTTCATCGGTGTTATACCTCAAAGGTATGCGGCAGGTAAGTTAATTTTGTTTTGTATATTACAATACTATTTCTTTGTCATTATTTTCACCGGCAAATCAATACATCAAAAATTTAAAAACTTTGAAAAATGGCGATAAATTTATTTAAATAAGCCACAACACCAAAATTATATAGATTTAATGAAGAGAAAACGGTGATGGCGATCACTATTATGCATTTTTATACCCTAGTGGTGAAGGTATTATGTTTTTGTGTATCAGTCCGTCGGTCCATGTATTCTTGCGAACAAACTGCAGGTCGCATTTATTATTCGATTGAGATGAAATTTTGCATACAATATTTTTTTGGCCCACTGACGGACTCTATTGAAATTGGTGATGATCGGATCAGATTTGGATATAACTCCAATATATCTTCAACCGATTGCGGGTTAATTGAGCATCAAATAGACAATAGCAGTCCTAATGACCTGAATTTTGCTACTTCCCACCGAATTCAGTCTAGATGGAGAAAATTTGCAGAAAATCGGTTCAGATATAGCTATAGCTCCCATATATATGTTTCATCCGATTTGAGGTTTTAAGTCCCTCACATGCGTAATATGCACTCCACAAGAATTTTAATTTGGTACTATATAACTTATGGATATCTCAGTCAAATTTAATCGAAATCGGATCAGATTTTTATATAGCTTCAATATACATCTTCATACATACATGTAATATCACACCAAATTGAATAGATTTTTTCATGTCCAACCGGCTTTTACCATTCGGTAAAACTTGGTCCGGTATATATATATATATATATATATATATATATATATATATATATATATGTATATATATATATATATATATATGTATATATATATTATATATATATATATATATATATATATATATATATATATATATATATATATATATATATATATATATATATATATATATATATATCTTTATCCGATATTAGGGTAATTGTACACCAACTGGCCCATATCTGCCCAAATTGACTGAATTCATGCTAGACTTTAAATTTAGTGTAAATTGGTTCAGATGTAGCTATAGCTCCCATATGTCCCATATAAAGTCCCTTACATTCGTTATATGCATTCGACAACAATGATATTTGGTACCCGATACCTTTAGAGCTCGAAAATACCTTTGGCAAATTTAATCGAGATCGGCTAAGATTGGCATATTGCTCCCACTTAAATATATATACAGGGTGAGATGAAAAACTGAAATCAATTTCAGGCTGCTGTCATTTCTAAGCCACTCGTCCGACAGCTATTAAAATTATTCCAGTGACCGGTAAAGCCATTCTGGTAAAGCCAGTTAAATTCCAAAAAGTTCAAGAACTTACACCGCAACCAGTGTGACCGCTGGAAATTTTCAAAAAGTATCACAAAAAGTATCATTTCTTAAAAAAAGTGGCACATATCACTTTAAATGGTGGCACAGAAAGTGACACAATTTGTTTCACATTTTATTTAAAACAAGTAAAAAAGTTGTAAGTTCGGCCGGGCCGAACTTTGAATACCCTCCACCATGTGGTAAAAATTTGGCAATTTTCACAAAAAAAAAAAAAATAAAATAAAATCGGGTAAAAATTCTGTCAAAATCTTAAAAATACTGAATGTAGCCGTATATTAGGGTCTATACGATGACGTGGACCTGCATAGGCAAATTTTGTCATAAACTATTATAATATTTAAATGCGAAAAAAATCTGTTTATAATGTAGCTAAAATAAATAAAATAGCGAATATAGGGAGGTGCATTGGGGTTATAAAACGTGGACCTGCACAGACAATTTTCCGGCATAGGCTGTAGTATCCATTACGAAGTTCAAATACAGAATTCGAAATAATTCCCGTAAATAATGTCGCAAAAATCATCAAAATACCGAATATCGGGGTACCGATATATAGGGGCTATAAGAAGAAGTAAACCTACACAGACAATCTCCTGTCATATGCTTTAGTATCTATCGAACTTCAAATACCAAGTTTGAAATAATTCCGATAAAAAATGTTGCTAAAATCATCCAAATGCCGAATATCGGGGGCACCTTTACATGGGGGCTATACGAAGATGAAGACCAGCACTTACTTCAACTTACTTCATTTCGTTCGGAAGCTAGAGTGATTTCCACAGACGGACAGACATTGATAAATCGACGAAGAATTTTATGCAGAGCAAGAATATATATACTTTGTGGGGTGTAAAATGTATATTTCGAGGTGTTACAAACGGAATGACAAACTTAATATACCCTTCCTACTATGGTGGAGGGTATAAAAAAGGTGGCACAATGTATAAAAAAGTGGCACAAAAATTCAAAAAAGTGGCTCATTTAGGATCAAAATAAAAAAGTGGCACAAAGGTATCAAAGCCCAAAAAAAGTGGCAAAATTGATACTTTAGTGGCACAACGGTCACGCTGACCGCAACAGAAAGAAAATACACTCAAAAGAGCTAAAGAGTTGCTTCGCTTGGCCGAAAGTGGTGAGCTGCCGAATTTGGTTTTCTTCGATGAGAATACATTCGTTCTCCAGTAGTTTGTACATTCCCCATATAACAGTACCTCCCATTTCCACCGATACAAAAACATTATGTGGGCTCTAACGCACAACTTGAGGTATTATGGTAATGGATATAAAAGAGTAATTAACTTTGACTATTCTCAAGTCATTTTGCCCTTAAATTGCACTCTAAATTTCAAATTACATATCATTTCAATGGAAAAATTTAGGTTTATAACTCTCAAATTAAGGCATATGGCTGAAAAATAGGATCAAGGTTTTTAAAATACTTTAAATTGATCGGTACATGAATATATATTGAAATTCTAGACGTGGGCATTTAGTTCTATTTAGTCAAGCCATTATTTATAATAAAAAATAAAAAATATGAGTTATATTTTTATCTGCTTTATATGAATCAACGGCTGAAGCTATAATCTTAACATTTAGCAAGAGGGTCAGTCATGGTGCATGGGCTAGTTTCCAGTAAAAGAGCTGTAAGTTCGGCCGGGCCGTACTTTGAATACCCTCCACCGTTTGGAAAGAAATTTGGCAATTTTCAAAAAATAAAATCCGTTAAAAATTCTGTAAAATCTTAAGTTAAAAAGCAGTAAGTTCCGCCGGACCGAACTTTGAATACCCTCCACCATTTGGAAAGAACTTAAAAAATTCTGTTAAAATTTTAAAAATAGCGAATATTGCCGTTATATTGGTATCTATACGACGTGGACCTACATGGACATTGTTTGTCATAAGTCATTATTCATATTCGAATCTTGAAATAAACGGTGAATAATGTAGCTAAAATCATCAAAATATCGTATATAGGGAGGTAGCGTTATATCGGAGCTGTGCGAAGACCTGAGCTGCATAGACAATTTTCTGTCACAGACTGTAGTTCCCATTACGAGCTCTAAATACGTAAATTGAAACAATTCCGGTAAATAATGACGCTAAAATCATAAAAATACCGAATAAAGGGAGGTACCGTTAAATGGGGGCTATACGAAGACGTAGACCTGCACCGACAATTTTCTGTCTTAGGCTGTAGTATCCATTACGAACTTCAAATATCAAATTTTAAACAATTCCGGTTATAATGTCGCTAAAATCATCAAAATACCGAATATTTGGAGTAACCGTTATATGGGGGCTATACGTTTTCTGTCTTAGGCTGTGGTATCTATTACGAACTTCAAATACCAAATTTGAAACAATTCCGGTAAATAATGTTGCTAAAATAATCAAAATACCAAATATCGGGAGGTACCGTTTTATGGTGGGCTATATGAAAACGTGGACTTACATGGCCCATTTACGATCTTACCCTGCTTACTGGCAAACTAGGCATGTATGAAAAATTTTAGCCTTCTATCTCAATTCGTTCGAAAAATAGCGTGACTACAACAGACAGGCAGAAACACGGACATGGCTGAAACGACTTAGAATTTTACGCTTATCAAGAATATATATACTTTGTTGGGTCTGACATGAGTATTTCGAGGAGTTACAAACGGAATGAAAAAGTTTATATACCCTCAATAGTATGGTGGAGGGTATAAAAATATTGAATATTGACGTTATAACCTGCACAGACAATTTTCTGCCATAGGCTGTAATATCCATTACGAACTTTAAATACCAAATTTAAAACGATTCCGGTGAACAATGTCGCTTTATTCACCTAAATATACCAAATCGTGGACCTACACGGTCCATCTTCAATACCAAAAGTAATGCAGACATAATATACATTTGAGTAAAATTTTATCAACCTACTTCATTTCATTTGGAAGCTAGAGTGATTTCCATAGAGTGATTTCCATGCTTTGGTTTGACAAAATCGGATTATAAAAGTAAACAAGTAAGCAAAGGCTACAGTCGAGCGGGGCCGACCGTTGAATACCCTACAACACTATAATAAATGATACAGTTTATATAGGCGAGATACTCGAAAGAATTCCACAAGATATTGTGACAAATAATAAAAGAAAACCATCAGGTTTCGTCCTCTAATTTTCGAATAATAGCAACTTTAACTAATTTGCTCATTTCCAATTTATAGGTAGATGCATGGTACAATAATATCAAGGTAGGGCTATGATACCATATGATTTTAATTTTTTTTATTTTCTTGGCTTAATATGTCATCTTTATTGGTTTATGTATGTGTTTTCTTTTCAATAACAAAAAAATTGTTCAGAAAACATTCAAATTCGGATGTTTTCAAAATGTTTATTTCATCGTATGCATCGAGAAAATCTAGAGTTTTTGTAGCGAAATAATCCTTTAGAGATATATAGAACCTGGTTTTGAAAAGAAGTGTTGACCTTTCATTCAGTTTTCGCGGTTTTCAATTATTTATTCAAAATAAATGCAACAAGTTGTTTGATTTTTTTATTGTTAGGATACTAATTCTGACATTACAAGCCAAACAGGTAGACCTCTATACTTGCAATTTTTTCAAAGTTGGCCTACCTTCTCTTCATTGTACCATGGGTAGATGTTGCACGTAAATGGTCTTCCTAGATCTGGAACCAATATTTCCCAAAGACCCAGAAGTGGCAAAAGATTAACATTTATTATTGGTTTTTGACTAAAACGCATCTATATGAGATACAGACATTTGACTATGTTCTTTAACGAAATAGTCAGAAGTGCGTCTTTCCTGTATTTGTGAATTCTCCAAAAAGTCTCTGGAATAGACATTTTCGTATTTTGTCTACAAAAGTTGGCAAACTATTTCACACATTGAATATTTTTGGATGGCCATCCAAAACTGCTTGGCTTTTGCAATGTCCGGTAATCCCCTTTCAATGTGCGTGAGGATCGGGCGATAATTACGACCTGCCGACAATTTTGCAGTTTTTTTGGTCCATTTCAACCCCTAAATATATGGCGATCATCTCCAAAAAGAGTAGGCTTCTATTCTGACCCTCATCTTATCCCCATGCAAAATTTCGTAAGGATCGGGTCATAAATACGATCTGTATATGATATCCTGATATCCTAACTACTTAGTTTTGTTAGCTGTAGAAATATTACCAAATGTTTAATTCAAAATGAAAATATGCCAAAAATATGACAAAATTGAAAAAATATGAGAAAATTTTACAAAATCAATGTTTTCCCCTTTAGAGAGATATTTTTATGCGATTTTTTTAGACGTTTTTTCTTTCCTGCCAAGAGGCCATTCTGAATTAATGAGAACTGTCGAAATCAGTTCAGCCGTTCTCGACATATAAGAGATCTTTCAAGCATATCTTCTTTGATAGACATATATATCGCACATATTTTTCTATATATCCGATTTGTTGGATGTTAACATCAATGTAAAGGTCAGAAGTAACCTTGTCATGGATTTGTGATTTCGCCGGGATTTAAAATATTCGCGGTTTAATGAAAAATTTTGAATTTTTTCAACACAAAATATATGGTCTATTTTACCCGCTAAATATTATCCGATGACCACGCAAATTGGTAGGCTTCTTCCCCGCCCTAAACTCTAGCTACATGCGAAATTCCGCGTCGATTGGTCTATAATTGCGACCTGTAGAGCAAGTGCAAAATCAGGAATTTGTTCAGTATTTGGTCCATTTCAACCCCTAAACATTTGGCGATCATCTCAAAAAGAAATAGGGTTCTATTCTGGCCCGACCCCGACCTCCATTCCAAATTTCGTGAAGATCGGGCCATAATTGCGACCTGTAGAGTGATTACAAATTAACATGGACAGACGGACGGACGGACATACATAGCTAGATCGACTCAGCTCGGCGAGATAGGATGATCCATATATACTTTCCTATGTGGGAAACCAATATTTCGAGGTGTTACATAATTTTTGGGCCAATCAAACTTATAATACCCTCAACACATAGTGTTGTAGGGTATAAAAACATTGTTGGCATATTAAAATTTGATATGTTAAGAGAGTATTTGCAGCAGTAAATATTTGTTATAGCCTCCATATAGCGGTACCTCAGGATATTCGGTGATTTTTGCCACATTTTTCCACGGATTTGTATAAAAATTGGTATTTGTTGGTCATAATGGGTTCTAGCTCCGTTGGCGAAATAATGTACAACCCCCATATAACGGTACCTCCCGATATTCGATATTTTGATGATTTTAGGGACATTATTTACCGGAATTTTTTCAAATTCTGTATTTGAAGTTCGTAATGGATACTACAGTCTGTGCAGGACCATGTTTTGGTATTGTCCTCGTATAATGGTACCTTCTTAGATTCGTTTTTTAAATGATTTTAGCTACATTATTCAACGATTTTTTTTAAGTTTTTCATTTGAATATTTTAATGGCTTATGACAAAAATTTCGTATGTTGGGCAATATTTAATATTATAATATTTTATTATCATGAAGCATTGATGCTATTTTTCGAAAGTACGTGTCAATATTCACTAACTACAATTTTTATTTACTTACCTCTATTTTTATTAGAAAAACCATGGCTTAATGAAACCCCTTCTCTATATGACAACTATTTGCATCGGCTTTGCAAGCGTTTCATTCCTTTGTTTCTACTGTGCAGCACTTGTGGGGAGTTTGGAGTACTTCAATGTCATCATTATGGGCTTTAGTTATTTTTTGGCCATAGGTAAAACTGAATCAAATTTCGAGTAATACAAAATAATAATGTTGTTGCAAAATAATCAGGCTTAATCTCATTAATGTTGTTTTTATAAAAAGAACGTTTGAGAAGGATGGTAATGTTTAGCAAGGGGTATGGCAGGAAATACCCAGGTTTCGGAAGCCACAAGAATTTTAGATTAATTTAATTCTATGGTTCCTCTTGTATTGAGCTTATGATTTCGCAACTTGGGTAGAAAAATTTTTCTGTCATAGGAGTTAATTTAAAATAGCTCCTGGGGAGAATAACTCCAGACAAAAAAGCTAGGAAACTGATCAGAATTGGTGGGTCTTTCCAAACCATAGCTATTCCCTGCCTTAGCCCCCGGTAAACATTACCATCTTTGCCCACTAATAAACAAACGTTGTTTTTATAAAAACAACAATAATGAGATTAAGCCAGACTATTTTGCAACAACAAAATAGTACGGTATCCGAACAAGCATGTCAACACCGTTTTACAAAATAATAATATTATCTTTATTTCCAGGTATTTTCGTCTTATTTTCCACACCATTATTTCAGATATATCAACGAATGCGTCAACGAGCACTTTATCCATTTAATCGGACCATTCGGCATTCGGAGAAACCAGTAGAACAATTAAACCAATAAAGCTGAAATTTGATGAGCCACAGTGGAAATTAACATCAAATTTGATTGTTAATTTTTAAACCGCTTTAATTGATAATATATTTTTGAAATAAAAAATAATTAATTTAATCAAATGTGAATGTCAGAATAAATGCATTCAATTGACATTAATAGCAGAGCTGCAAGCTCCTAATACTGATATCTACAAAGACCTAAAATGGTAAAGACCAAAGACATAAAATTATAAAGATTCGACAAAATGCATATGGGCTTTAATTTTTCCATCAGGTAATAGATGGCAGGTGACAAAACAGAAATGCATTAGAAATTTTAAAAAAATATGTTATTCCGATATCGCCGTAAATTGGCGGAAATACGAGGAAAAAAATGTCAGGTATGATTGACATGGTCTCAAAAATCTATTCCAGAGCATTTCCTTGTGCAATGAATCGATAATATCAACAACAACCCTTAAAAAGTGTCAGCTCTGTTAAATTATAACATAATGCTATGTCACGATATCGTGACACTTTGTAAACAGGTTTGTGATATATCAAAAATTCAATTTTTTCAATAACTACAGGGAAAATCCAGCAGATTATGCAAGTAGAGCTAAAAAAGACACGTGTGTCGGCGTTTTGAAACTTAAATCGAAAGTAACCAAAACAGAGCGTGAAGTTCCCCCTCTTCCACACTTTTGGAAAATTTCGGATTAAAATTCCTCGGAATCCATTCACTGTGTGGACCTGGGCAATATTGCATATAGAAATATGAGGAACATTTTTGCTGAAAATTTTAATCCTTAAGAGGGATCATAGTAAGTCAAAATATTTTTAAAAATTATTTGTCATATAGAAGACCTCAAAAGTCTAAATATTGCTTCGACGCCAGGAATTCATCTCTAAGCCACTCGTCCGACAGCTGTTAAAATCATTTCAATGGCAGCTCATTATATTGTCTACAAGCGTATAAAACCATTTTGGTAAGAATTTTCCACAAAAAAAGTTATCCGTGATGGAGTTCAAGCGTGAAGTGTGATTTCTTTATGTTTGGCTGGAAAGCCACAAGTGGCTGTCGTTAGAGCACTGCAGCATTTAAATGTGAATAAATCTTTTGTGTTTCGTACCATCGCTCGTTACCCTGATACTGGTAGCGTACCCGGACGTCAAGAACCCGGACGTCGGAAGAAAACAGCAACATCAGCAAAAATGGTTCGAAGAGCAAAGAAGCGACTTGATCGAATCGATGACTCGTGAAACAAACAATGTTTTTGTTAACAAAAATTTACTCAATTTTTAATGGTATGTATTAAGTATACAAACTTCTTTTGTTCAGAGACTTACAATGACAACCCTAAATTGTGGTTTTAATATATATATATATGAATTCCTGGCGTTAAAATAAGATTCAGACCCTTGACATCTAGAGTTTTATGACAAATAATTTTATTGTATACTAGCTGAACCCGGTGCGCTTCGCTACCCCTTTTGATTTTATATGAATTCAAAATTTTATTTACAAATATATGTTGGTTAAAAAAAAACACATTTAAAAAAAATTTTTGCACTACTTTAATGCGTAAATAACCAAAACCATTAGAAAAGCAGTAACATGACATACATACACGAAGGGTTTATCCTTCGGATTTATTTATTTCATAGCAAATACCAAGCGTGCAGTAAACTGCAATCTTTTGAAGTTGATTGGCATTTCTATTGCAATTAGTGAATTCGAGATAGCAACATACTTCGCCGTAATAAGCGTATTTCAAATCAGTTGTTGTGTTGTTTTTTAATGTTAGCCTAAGGAGTTGTGGGTCAATGGTTCTTATTAAAATCATATCCCAATCTGATCCGATTTAAATATAATTTTTAAAAAATTACTTTTAGACCAAATTCCGCCACACCTTTCATATTTCATTGAAATTGGTGCGTGAAATATGTGAAATCGGCCGAGAATATATATATGGGAGCTATATCCAAATCTTAACTAATTTCGACATCATCACATTTATTATTGTAACCAAATTCCGCCACACATTCTGAATTTCATTAGTATCGGTCATATATATCATGTTTGGTGCATAACATGTATGAAATCGACCGAAATATATTTGTTAGCCAAACCTCAACTGATTTCAATATAATTTGGCAATTTTTTCTGGTGCCAGATTTTGTCTCCCTCGCTTTGGGTGCATCAAATATGTGAAATCGGCTGAGTATATATATGGGAGCTATAATCAAATCTGAGCGTATTTGAATATAATTTGTCAAATTTATTTTTGTACCAAATTTAGCCACTCATGCCGAATTTCATTGGAAGCGGAAATACGTATCGTGTTTTGTGCATCAAATATGTGAAATCGGCGGAAAATATATATAGGAGCTATATCCAAATCTGAACCAATTTTAATATAATTTGACTAATTTATTTTCTAATCAAAATCCCGTTACATATTCCAAATTTCTTTGGAATCGAACATACATATCGTGTATGATGCATAAAATACATGAAATCGGTCGAAAATATATATGAGAGCTATATCCAAATCTGAACCGATTTTAATATAATTTGACAAATTCATTTTGGCTCCCAATTCCGTTACTTATTTTAAATTTCATTACAAGTGGAAATACATATCGTGTTTGGTCCACCAAATACATGAAATCGGCCGAAAATGTATATGGGAGCTATATCCAAATCTGAGGAGCTATATCCAAATCTGAAATCAATTTGTTAGATAAAATCTATCACACGTTTCAAATTTCATTGAAATTGGGGATACATTGCGTGTTTGGAGCATCAAATGCTTGAAACCGGCCGAAAATATTTATGGGAGCTATATCCAAATCTGAACCGATTTCAATTTAATTTGACAAATTTATTTTCGGATCAAATCCCGTCACACATTCCAAATTTCATTGGAATCGAACATTCATATTGGGTTTGAGGCATCAAATGAACGAAATCGGTCTAAAATATATATGGGAGCTATATCCAAATCTGAACCGATTACAATATAATTTGGCAAACTTATTTTTGTTCCAAATTCCGTTACGTATTCCAAATTTGGAGACTGTATCTTCAACCAATCAATAGATATGTGCATATAAAATCTAAATTTTTGGGAGGTACCTCCGATTCTGATGCTATATCTCCAGTTCCAAGTGGAAATTCAAAAATGTATATAGCCTATGTTACTTTCAGGCGATGTTGCAGTATATATGGAAATTTTCAGGAAAATCTATTCAGCGGTTTTCGAGTCCATAAATTACAAACAAACAAACAAACAAACAAACATACAAACATTTTCCTCTTTTATAGATATAGATCTTGTACTACTACGATTCCATTTAAGGGGTTTTTATTTTTTATAAAGGATCAAAAAGACTCCTTCAATTTTCGAATTAAAATTTACAAATACTGTATTGTTTTCAGTAATATTGTCATACCTAAAATATAAAGATTCAAGAAATCTTCATCCAAAATTTTCAAAAAATTTGGGTCTACTTAACTCTAGTTTCATAAGGGAGTAACATATTTGATCAAAACTTGGTAAATCGTAATATTATTTTAAAGCTAAGTGAACTCGATCGTACATGGACAATATCAGTCCACTCTTTCTGGTCCTCCCCCTCAAAAGGTCAACATTTTTACAGAAAATAATTTTACGTATAGAACAAGAAAAAAATGCAAATCCCAATATTTGTATTAGTGCTATGCCAGGTTCAAAAATGGCCAATATTGGTTTACTCAATCATCGAAAATGCTAGATTTCTTCACTGTCCTCAACTCTCTTTCGATGCAGAATTCCGTGTCGATTAGTTTTCAATTGTGGCCTATAGAACGAATAAAAATTAGAAAATTTAAATTTTTTTAGTCATTTAAACCTCTAAATGCACATCCTAAGAACAATAGGATTCAATTCCGACCCACCCCTTGCAAAATTTCGTGAGGATCGGACGATAATTGCGACATACATATAATACCCTCAAAACGTAGTGTTAGTGGGTGTAAAAATTTAGAAAATCTAAAATTCAAAATTGTGAATCAAATTTAAAAAATCGCATGGGATAAAAAAATATGACAAAAATGGAAAAAAATGAAACAAGATACATAACTTTTTCATTGGTATATTATCCCGCGATTTTCTTAGATTTTATCCTTTTCTGGCAAGAGACCATTCCGAATTGATGTGAATTGTGAAAATCGGCCCAGCGGTTCTTGATTTATAAGCAGAATAAATAAGATCAATTCTTTTACATATGCATTGTACCTATTTTGCTATATATCCGATTTCTTGGCTTTTAGCATTACTGTAATGGTCAGAAGTGATCTTTTAATGTATTTGGCTGGGATTAAAAGTACCCGCGGTTTAGTGGAAATTTTCCTATTTTCTAACATAAAAGTTAGGGTCTATTTTACCCGCTAATTATTGTCCGATGGCCGCTCAGATTGGTAGGTTTCTACCCGCTCCTAATCTCTAACTTCAAGTAAATTTTCGCGTCGATTGGTTCATAATTGTGACCTATAGAGCAACTGCAAAATCAGGAAAATTTTCTGTTTTTGGTCCATTTAATCCCCTAAATATTGTGCGATCTTCTCCAAAAACAATAGGGTTCTATTCTGACCCTAACCCCACCTCCATTTTCAATTTCGTGAGAAGCGGTTCATAATTGCGACTTGTAGCTTGATTACAAATTAACATGGACAGACGGACAGACATACATAGCTAGATCGACTCAGCTCGGCGAGCTAGGAAGACCCATATGTACTTTCCTATGTGGGAAACCAATATTTCGAGGTGTTACATAATTTTTGGCCCAATCAAACTTATAATACCCCCAACACATAGTGTTGTAGGGTATAAAAAATATGTAAAAATCCTGTGTATCCAACCACTCCTTCTGGTACCTCTCCCACAACGGGTCAACATTTTGAATAATAATATCTCTCATAACTTGCGAAAAAAGGCAGTGATTCTTTTCAAACTTGGTATATTGGAATATTTCTCTCAACCATAGATCTGATAGGAATATGGAATTTATCGGTGCACTTCTGTTGGTACCTCACCCACAAAAGGTTAACATTTTGATTAAAAGCTACAGGCATAAAATGGAGATAAATGTAAAATTTTCTTTAAAAGAGGCACATTACAATAATTTTTTCAGTC